TTAAATTCGAACGTTGAATACATCAAGAATTATTCAAAATTTCATAAAAATTTCGAAAAATATCATATAATAACGTATCCATGGCCCTCGAAGGATTCAACGCTTGGAGGATCATTTCAACATCAACTTATGAAGACATAACACTTCAATTTATCAGAAATAATTCAGGATTGTATAACATTAACATTATATTCATGCTTGTTTCTTTCAATGTCCCTTTCACGGTTCCGGATGTGTATGAAGTCATAAACCTTCAAAATGGTTCGACTGTACCGCCCAATTGCTTTATTCTTTTTAGAAGGGAGGTTCAATCACGCGTCTCGTCTACAGGTTTGCGTATAGGACGTGGTGCTTTATCTAGACTTTTAAGTGCTATTTGGAACGATTTAAGAGTAAATGACCCAAATCTGGTGAACTCGTTCAGAAATGTCGCCAACAATGTAGCAAGGATGTTTAATGAAAGATTACGGATTAGGATTGTCAACGGTTTTGAATAGGATACTTATTGGGGGTTTCAAAATCAAAATCAGAAAATCATTTTTATATTTTTTCCGATTTGCGTATAATTCAACATAGTAACAATGCTATTTGAAAAATCCTATTTTTTTTTTTTTTTTTTTTTTTTTTTTTAAGTTTATAGAATGACCTCATGAAAAATCCTATTTGTTTTGTAAATTACGCAATTGTTTGCTAATTTTGAAACCCTTAATTATTACGAATTACTGGCTATTTAGTTATTCTAACAGTAAAAGCCTTTTTTTTGGTTTGTTTTTTTTTTCTATATATAACTTTATATTTTTCTTAATCAACTCAGAACTCAAAATATTTATTATAAAATGTTTACTTTTTTAAATTTAAAATATAAAATAGAATTATATACACGTAGTCGACCCTTATTTACTATCTTTATCTTTCTTAATATGTAGCCACAGCAAATAATCCTGCAAAATTAATAAATATTGATTTGTGTTCATTGAGTAAAAGCGCCCCTTTTAACAAGTATATATCCAGAAACTAGAAAATATTCAAGACATTCTCACAAAAAAACACAAAAAAAAATTATCTCGTTCAAAAGAAGCCATATTTCTTATTTAACTCTAGCGTAATTCTTAGTTATGTGTGGTCCGTAAACCAATATATTTATATATTTAACTTATGTAACCACTATATTGTTGCTAGTCTGCATGTGCAGAGTTTGCATCTCCTAATTAAAATTAAAAGTGTGACAATATTCAAAGTAACTAAAAGTTTAATCCTCAATGAAAAAAGGTGTCTGAACTTCTTTTTTCTTATTTGCATATTAGCCAAAAATTTCAAAACATGTATCGATAGATTGATTTGATGCACCTTATTTGTTGTCTAAATTTGACTTTGTTTATCGATAAAGATTATTTCATTCCATGAGTTTAAATTATTATAAATTTACTCAACTAAAGAAACACCTTAGAATTAGGTTTGGGGATCTAAAATAAAGGGTCCAATTTATTAAACCCAATTCAATAAATTAACAAAAACATGTACAATACAAATTAAAATATTAAATAATACAAACGGCAAATACTGCGCGTTAATAGTCAAAAATGGACAATTAATGTAACCTTTATTTTGCTCTATGTCTTGGAGAATTTATCTACGTTTTATAAATATGTATATACAGTATGTATATAGCATGTTGACTTCAAAAGACGATTTATATCAGAAAATAATAATAATATGTAAATATATAATTTGGTTTGCTGAATTAAATCGTATCAAGGATGGGTCTCATAGTAATAGGAAATTTTAACTTTATATATATGTAATGAACAAATGGATGTTTTTTAGGTTTAAGTTAGGCAAACGGTCCTTAAGTAATAATTGTTTATTATATATATCACGTGATTACAACGTGAAATAGATTTTTTTTAACATAAAACCAAATAAAGGCACCATGAATAACTTTTGATCAATACCAATGATAGCTCGCATTCAACCCTTTCAACATCTCTAAGTTAATTTTAGATCTATCCGTTTCAGTCCCTATTCGAATTTCTATATTTAAATATGTCATACATAAGTAATTTATACATACGTACGTACTGTACGTACAGTACATCGATTTTATCCATTTTGCTAGGTATATGTCGATAAAATTCATTAGCAATTCAAATTTATATTATAATAGCTAATTTCTTCTATAAGAATTATATTCTTTTTGAAAAAAAAATTGAACTTTATTTATAAGCTTTATTTATAAATAAGTATAATTACGATAATTTATTAACTGCAACAGAGTTTACATTAAAATGTTGTATAAATAAAATAAAAATTTTGGATTTAGTGCCTTAAAATTTAATATACAATATATATTTTTAAGTTGGCCCTTTTTAAGTTTGCAATCACAACTTTGTCCTTAAATTTTATAACATACAGTATTCCTTCAATAACGTTTTTGAACGGAAATAAAACCTAAAGTGCTCAAGTTTCTTGTAATAAACAAGTTTGAAAAAAAATTTTAAATATTGCAACTTTATCATTTCTTAATAAAACTACTCTTGTGTAACAGTAAATAGATGTGTAAGCTGTGTAACCAATACCTACAAATGTATATAATAACTTAAATAAAAGAACTGCACTATGTTATATAAAGTTTAATAAGATTTAAAATGAAAAAGTATATAAATTAGAGCGAATATAAAATTTTAAAATTATGCTGAATGCTAGCACTATACTTTTTTATTTATACTGGAGTAATAGACAAAGCAAATCGTATTCACTCTAATTTAAGCTATTAGATCATACTTTCCCCAATATTTATCTTTTTTTTTTAATAATTGTATATTTTATAAAATCGTACAGTATAATTTATATTTAATCGATATACAATATATACAGTATTTATTGTATATATTATATATATATATATATATATATACGTAATAATTATATTTATTAGTTGATTTAAATGAAACTAAAAGTTAACCACTAACGCAAAACATTAGCGAGGTATATAAATTATTAAAGTCTTTAATTTTGAAATAAAATAAAACTAACAGCTTCATTATTCTAATTATTGCAACGTATTAGCACTTATTTCTTGTTTAATAATATTATAATTTTTTTCTTCTTCCGAAGCGCATTCATACGGAAAGTACGAAGTTTAACATGTAATGTTTGTTTAAAAGTCTATTTAATACCTTGCTAATATACAGATTTAGGTATATTTTAGGAGTAAAAAAAAAACTTTAAAAAAGTGTTTGTAAATAGTCTTTAATGCTCTCGATACATCATGTTTTCATTTGCGAAAAAAATTTAAATATGTTTATCAGGTCAGGATCTTTTCTAACTTTTTTTTTATTCAACTTTCTTTTTTTATTTCATTTCTAACAATTTCATTAATATTATAATCAAGGTATATAATTTATATAACTTGGGCGGATTGTATTTTAATTATATTTGCAAGGTATCAAAAAAGAAAGGGTTATTAAAAATTTTATCATTCCATTATCTTTAAGGACGTATTGTACAATATGGCAATTTTCACGCGGTCAGCACGCTTTTTGGCAAATATATTCGAGTAATCTGTGGATATTGTCGATTATACATGATGTAGCAATTAGTGGATAAATAAGGTAATGCATATACGTATAGATTCAATTCTACTAGCTATTATTCATACTTAACAAATTATC